CCTAAGAAGGATCGAAGGGCCGGGGCAGTCCGAGGTAGAGGCCACGTAAGATAACTCGGCTTACCCAAGTCGGGGCTCATACCAGTACTATTGAACATGTGACCCAAATAGGTCACTCGATCTGCATAAACTCGCACTTCTCAGCAGCCACCGTCATACCAGCCGCCCGTAGAAGCTCAAAGACGATCCTCAAGTGCTCCAGATGCTCTTCATCGGATCTACTAAAGATCAGGACGTCATCAAGGTAGACCCTCACAAAAGGGAGATGTCCCAGAATAGCATCCATCAATCGCTGGAAGGTAGCCGGGGCACTTGCCAAACCAAAGGGCATCATCACCCACTCATACAATGGGAAGCCTGGACCGGGGCAGAAGGCGGTCTTACGTTGGTCCTCCTTGCGAACCGGGATCTGCCAGTAACCACTTCTCAAATCGAGAGTCGATAACACTCGTGCACCAGCCAGGTGCTCTTGTACGTCGTCTGGCCGGGGCACCGGGTACGCCTCAGTATGGCATGCCTTGTTGAGGTTCCTGTAGTCAATACACATCCGGACTTTACCATTCTTCTTCGGGACGAAGACACACGGGAACCTCCATGCCGACGTGCTCCTTCTAATAACACCAAGCTCCTCCATCTCCTTCAGTAAGGCCGAAATCTCATCCCGATATTTGTGAGGAATAGGCCTTATCCTCTCACAAATCGGACGAGTCGTCCCAGTCTCGACCGAGTGCTCAGCTTGAGTACAACGTCCGGGACGTAGAACGAAGAGGTCCTTGAACTCCTCACATAGGTCAGCAACTGGTTGTTGCGCTTCCGTAGGGCTCTCACATATATCTGGTAGCCTAACCGTCTCGTCCAGAAACTCTGGGACAGCAAACCGTAAGGGGTCTTGGCATATATCATCTCCTTCGAAGCCATCTACATGCTCCCAAGCAGCTGGGGGCCACTCCTCTCCCTTAATAAGCTCTTTCCCTTTCGGCTTAGACGTGCTGGGAACTCTAGCCTGTGATTCGGCCGGGAGCTTCAAGTTGGCTCTCTCTAACTCCTCATCAGTCATGAGAGGCCCATCCGCTCTCAGGCCGGCACACCCAGTCGGGGCAGAGCAAATATCGCAAGGGCGATCGAAGGTAGAGACGTCCAGATGGGCAAATGCAGCTGCACATCCCACGCAATAATGTTCTGGCTCTCTAACAAAGTCGATTTCTATATCCTCTTCGGGACAGGGCTTCTCGCACCCATCGTTAACAGGCACCGAAACAGTACCCTTCGGCGTATCACTGTAGGCCACATCCTCACCCACAGCCTTATCCGATGCCTCAGGGTTGGCCTTGTCCTCAACCAAGAAGTTTTCGGTCTGGCTTCCTATATCGACACCACCCGTGACCACCTCTTCCTCGGAGTAAACGGTCTGGACACCTTGCGTTACCAATCTCCCAGTAGTTTCTAGTACTTGACGTTGTTGAGCAGCCATCAAAGCTATCCTTGGAGACACCGGCTCCGTCATCGAAGGAGGACTGCTCAACACCTATATAGGAGGTCGCGTTGCCACCCTGGCAACACCGCCTCGACCGTACACCTCTGTCAACGGCGTCCAATGCATCTCTCATCAACCATGGAATACCAGGCGGGCCTGCCTTCGTATTCCGACCGATAATACGCACCGGCTTCTCTGAATACAATATATCTAACTGAAAATATTTTAAGAAGTCGTGCCCCAGAATCACGGGGAACGCCAACGATTCTACAATAAAAGCTGTAATCAAAAAGGGAATACTCAACTCATCAGCAGTGGAGCGGGCTCTCTCCCCCACCCCCGCTGCTGTAATCAGATTAATCGCTAATGTTGCCACACCAATAATCTTACAAGAGGACTTATCTATTGTAATCAACGACGGCCCAT